ATAAAACAATTTGAACGATTTAAACAATTCCAGGAAAAACTGACAGTTAATCCCAATTCCAGTCTATGCTCGATGCCCAACCCAGAACTCCTGAATTGACTTTACCAGGGAGGCTCAGGAGTGTGATTGCCCTGTAGTTGGAACACACCCTGCGGTGAACAATTCCACACATATTTCAAGTCGATCAAGCAAACATTAAAGGAGTAGTCTGATCAAATTCAGACCCTAATGATGACCAAAACGCAAATCGCAACTTAAATCCAATATGGCTGACTTCATGGTTTAATGTTCACCGTGGGTTCAATAAAGTTTTTTGTGGGTCTTGGGCAGTTCTAAATGCGTACTGAAATCCGAAACTGTACAATGAAGTAAAGTCAATGAAAAGGCTGATTTGAAACATTCTAGGGGATGCTGTTACTCTGTTTTGTGATTTTTCTTTTTAAAACTTTAAAAAAAATTTACACTACAACTGACACAAGTGCAAAAATGGGGAGTTACCCTAGCGTAGCTGCTATGTAGGCCTCCAAAAAGCCAAAACAGTTTTGGGAAGAAAAATAAACATTTGAAATAACACTAGGCCTTCGCAACTCCAAATTACTTCTAATGTTTTATGACTTAATTTGTTTTACTTTGATCTATGTGAAGCACTTTGTGATTTTCTGTCTGAGTGCTATATAAATAAAATGTACTTACTTATATATGAAAAGTAATGGTATGTGTTTCGACCAAGCCAGTCATGTACTTTGAGATTTATCAGCGTGTAAACGTTCATAATTAGTATGATTACAATTCAGACGTTGCATATGTGACGTCACCACAGAATCTCCTCTCCCTAGCCAGCACATTCTCACACCCAAAGCATCAAAATATGACGCGTGTGACCAAGCCTCAATATTTGATGATTCGAGATGCCCCAGCGTGTCAGGAGATGACGATCAGGGACACACTGATGACGTACCGTCCCAGAGCGTTGGTATCCGACGCCGGTGGTGAGACGGACATTAGAACGACTTGTGAACTACTTAACCTTCCCCTCACCCCAATCCTAACCTTAAGGTCACAGTTACTGACCTTAAGGTTAGGATTGGGGTGAGGGGAAGGTTAAATAGTCGAATAATGTCCGTGTGACCGCGGGCGTCAAACACTGACGCCAGCGGAGCCACGTGTCCCTAATCGTCGTCTCCTGACGCGCTAGGGCGTCCCGAATCGTCATATTTTGACGCTTTGGGTGTGAGAATGTGTTGCCCTAGCATAGCTGCTACGTACCACATGGCCAGATTTATGGTGGTTCTTTCCTCCTGAGGGAAAGATTTACCCTATTTTCCTCCGTGTCTGGTTTGAAAACGTCACTTTGGTGATGCTCATTTGTAGTTCTGGACTTATTTTCACACAAAACCTAAACTATTTTAAAAAATAAGCGATTTCTTGGTATCAAAATGCATCTCTAAAAATCACAAATGTATGTGAAATCCATGGCACATAATAACTGAAAATAAAAAATAGCATTTTTAGCCACATTGACTTGCATGAATTTTTTTGTTTTTCCAGGGACCCGTGGTCAGGGTTCCCGCGGGGTCTTAAACAGTCTTGAAATCATTGAATTTGGGAATTTGGCAATACCTTAAAAAGTCTTAAATTTTGACAACTGGGTCTTGAAATTATTGCTGTATGTAAATTTCCTGTACTGGGTTTTTCTTTTAAAGTTTTATTTGTCAACCACAGTCATTTTTATTAAATAACGTAGCATAAATAAGGAGTGGCGGAACCAGTACTTGAGAACAGCCTTGAGACTAAGTACCCGAACACGTGACATATTCGGCTCCCGCGCTACAGCAGTGATGCAAGGTAAACATAACAGACCACAGACCTCCAGCAGAGGAGAAACGTAGAACATCTCAGGGGCTTGTGACCAGAACTCTGGACCTCTTTGGGACTGAGTGAAAACATTCGGTAGGTACCGGTATCAGAAATAAAGTCTTAATCAATCAATCAAAACTTTATTTATCCCAGAGGGAAATTAGAGTTTCAGTACACACAATTCAGAGATCAGACATACATGGGCAAGACACATGACAAGAATTGGTGACTGTGGTCCTTCGCAACACGAGTCGCGCTACCTTAATAGATGAAAAGGGAATTACATGAGGATAAATTGCCAATGAGCCACCGCGGGTCACAGGACTGATCCTGAGTCACGTGAGAGGAGGAGACCTTTCATCAACACTTCTCTGCAGTTTGTGGATGAAAATGTTAAAAAATACCTCAAACGTTTGGGTGCATTTTGCAAAAGAGCAGCAGCTAAAGATTAGTGCCATGAAAATAATGAATAGCAGCAATTTAACGAATGGTTGTCATGCAGGGCATCATCTTAAGAAAACGTCTTTGGCTGCAGAAAAGTACATTTGAGTTTATCTCCGTCTAAAACACTGGAGGAGTGTGAGGATGGAGGCTGATAAAAGCACTTCAGCTGCTGTTTTGCAGCTTTATAAATGCAGTTCAGGAGGTTGTTATTACTGCTGTTACTGACATGATGTCATGCATTAATGAGGGCTAGTTTACATAAATATTTAAATTTTGTGCCTTTACTGTTTGCACTGTAGCTTTACTGTTTTTGCTTAGAAAAAAATTTAAATAAAGTGTAATATAAATAAATATAATATAATAATATATGCAATAAGAACAAAACCTTTAAGTAGTTTGTTATCCTCTCTTAAAATAAAAAATATAGATTTCAGCTACAGTATCTAAGGTACCACCATCAAAAACCAGGTATCGGTAAAGGGAAACTAAACCCCAAAATAACATGTTTTCTGCTAATTAACTGTAAAATTGGGTCTTTACAAATGCAAATTTTCCTTTTCTGTGCATATTTTGACATGTTTGGTTAAACTTGATTAAATCTAGAATCTAGGTCTAAATACGTCTCAGTGCTGCCCCCATGTGGCAGAACAGTGGCTACTGCACTTTAAACTTGTGATGACTGGGGCTGGAACAATCCCACGTCATCGGACCAGTCTAGGCTAGGAGACTGTTTAATTCTGCTCTAAGAGTCTGGTAACTCACAGGCAGAGAGGCAGTTGAGGTGTGGGACTAGGCAGCTCAAAAGTAACCTATCGGAAAAAAGATGGAAATGCCAACTACCGTGCGACGCTGTCGTTTTCTAGCTGTTGTAAAAAAAAAAGACGTCTGGCAACGGTGCAAATATCTTTATTTTTTTTAGAAGAAATGCTTTTAGCGCTTCTACTTGTGGTTTTAAAGACATTTGAGTCATTTAGAACAGAGGAAAGAGCCGCAGCGAACTCTGCCGCTGTCTTCATTGTTTATGAGAAACTGAGCGTCGCTGTGTGTGACGTCTGCGACACTGTCGTTTTTTAGCTGTAACCAAAAATGGCATCTGGCGACGGCGCAAGCATCATTCTTTAGAAGAAAGGCTTTTGGCGCTTCTACTTGTTTTAAAGACGTGTCCAAGTCATTTAGACCAGAGGAAAGAGCGAACTCCGCTTCAGTCGCCATGTTTATGACAAAGTCGGCGTTATGGTGTGTGACGTACACTAGTGATGTGTCGGTCGTGAACGAACCGGCTCTAAGAGCCGGCTCTTTGAAGTGAACGACGGGAGCCGGCTCGTCATTGGGAGCCGTCCCCTCCCCTCCCCCCCTCCCCCCCTGCCTTGGTGAAAGCTACAGGCGATTGGTCAACATGTGTAACTGCGTGTCCAGACTGTCCACACACAGAGCAGTAGGGGCGGGGAAGAGGGAGGATCAGACTCAGACACGCAGCAGAGCACATGCGGGAGGAGGGAGACGAGCGGGAATGAGGAGGAGGAAAAAGGCGAGTGAGAGGGAGGAGAGTGCGACGAAGACGGTGAGAAAATGAGCGCCAGCAGTCGGAAAGTGGAGATTTCTAGCATTATTTTGGTTATAAATGTACTCTACGCAACAGAAAATCTGAGGAGCCACTTGGGAGCCGAAAGAGCCGGCTCTTTTTGGTGAGCTGAGCCAAAAGAACCGGCTCTCTAAAAAGAGCCGGAATTCCCATCACTAACGTACACTGCTCAGCGCTGATTGATTTAAACAGGAGGAGGAGTCTGGCAGGCCAAGCTAACAGTCTCCTCCCACTCCCACTCCCTCCCAGGATGGAAATTCCCCACACTTCACCATGCTACTTTGTGCCTCCTGGCAACGCCCACTTTCATGACTAGGGGTGGAGTTAGTTTTCTGATGGTATGCAGTCCCTCGTTAAAGTAGTAGCTCCTGGTACCCGCCCTACTGATGCTGTTATATTTAAAGCATGTTTTACGTTACTGTAGTCACCCTTTTTGTGAAAGCTCAAACCGCTCTGCTGCTGTTCTCTATTAAGTGATTTAGCAAAATATAATAAAAAATTAAGGCAAATAAATCAAAACAAGTTGAAGGATTTTTTTTATTTTTTTGCTGATGAAATAGGTATTAAAATTTTATAGAAGTGGTCTACAAATGGACTTAAGAAGTCTTGAATTTGACTTGATGAATCCTGCAGGAACCCTGGAAGATGGGTGTGACTTCAGCTCCCTTCTGGTTGAAAATGCCCTGAAGAGCACCTCCCTGCTCCACATAACTGTAAGTGCAGTATGTGGCCAGCAGAGGGCAGCAGAGTGGTGTCATGTATGAAACTGGTGAAGTTTCTAACTCAGCCATCACTGAGATCAATGTTAACGCACCAGCTTAAACTCAAATAAACTATTTATTGTTACTTGAATGTGTTTTATAAATGCTGACATTTTACTGAAATATTAGCTTTTATTGGTACCATCCTGTTGGACTAATCTTTTTCTCTTGAGAGAAGTATTGTGGCAGCTCTACCACACCTGTGCATTTGTGCTTGCAGGGGGGGATGGGCCCTGCATCCTACTGAGTACTGTAGTACTTTTGTGTGTGGAAGTGATCTGTGTTGATTTCTAGCCTTTGCTTTGTGTCTGATTTGATGTGTTAGGATTTTAACTGTAGTCTTTGATGTTTTGAAGGTGAAAGACTGGTCTGGAACCTGTTGCCCTACACAACAAAGGACTTCTCTATTCGTTCTCTGGCCGACCGCATCAGTGACTTAAATCACCTTCTGTTTCTTTACCCTGACAAACCCAAAGATGAGGTGTTCGCCAAGTACTATACACCTCCACTTTGTAAGTATCAGCGAGGCTTCTTCTCTAAACGTCACATTATTGATTTGGGCTTCCTTTGGCATGTGTGGAGAAAAACACTATAGAATTGAAAGTACAGTGGTGTCCATACTTAAATGCCATTTATTTATGTTGCAGCAAAAGCAGTGGATGGATATGTGAAACCACAAATCAAACAAGTTGTGCCAGAGTGAGTCATTTTCCCATTTTCTTCTTTCTCTTAGAACTGCCTCAGGAAGCTAAAATTTGTCGTAAATGTCCTAAGTGCAGAAGCCAAAATACTTGAATACCAACATCATTAGGCTGTAAAAGTTAATATGTGCTGGATATCTGACTAGTCTGTAATCATAATTTTTACTTTATAGAAACTTGTGGGGTCTCAGCTCCGGCCCTTGGGGATCACCATATAGCATGTTTTGTTTTCCTATGCCAACAGGTGTGAATCAGCGGAACATAAGTACCTGTTCAGCAGGTTCTTACGTTATGCTGATGACCCTTTGGTTTATGTCAGGTTCTGCTACTGAACATGTATGACTTGATAAAACTATGAGCTTGATAACCCTGTGAAAATGTATACCCGTCATAACAACCACCCCCTGACTTTAGTCCAGGTGAGGGACTGCTAATTCACATCTGAGGGTACTCTGAAAGAACAGCTTCTGAACCCAAGATGATTAAGCATTGGATCATCATCTCTTGGCACCAAAGGGCTTCCATACAAATAAGACACAGGACACCAACCACTTGAGATCTTCCACGTATGGTTCTATTGTTATTCAATTTGAATCACATGACATTCATACATGCCTTTGGTGTACATCTCCGTAGAAATTAACCCCCTAAATGTCCATCTACAGCGCCTCCATAATGCGCTTAGGAAGTCTCTGATTGGTGCGCAACGCACCGACCCGAATGCAACCGAACCAGTACCAAAGAAGAAAAAGGGGGAGAAAAATATGCGGCCGCTAGCAAAAAATAGAAAATAAGTGGTATACCACAAAAATATAAAAAAAAAGGGTCTGTCTCACCGGGTTCGGCGGTCTTTGACCCGGTACATCCACCGATCTGGCTTCGCTGATCAGCGGTGAGGCAGGTGATCTGGGGTGGTTCCTCTCATTCAGCTGGAGAGCGCAGATATCCAGGCACGCTCCAGTGCGGGATCGTCGGGGGTTTCTCTCTGGCTTAAACCCCTAATCTTATTATTATTAATCTTCTTTTTTAACAGTCACCCACAGACCTACTGAGTTTTTCCTCAGTTACGCGGTAGACCTTTAGTTTGATAACTAATCAGATCCACGCTGACACCTGCACCACACCCATCCATGCTCGGTTCTTTTTCTTCTCCCTCCACTCCTGACGCAGCCCTCTCTTAATAGCTCGGGTGTGGCAAACAACACAAAAACACTGAACAACCCCGGCTCACCCAGTTACATACAGTGGAAAAGAAAATCACAGTGGCACAGTTTTACAATTATACTCTGGCAATTGTTTAGACCATTTCCTCATATCCTCTGAGCAACTAATTAAAATATTTTCTTTTATTTCAACACTGATCTAATGTGGCGATGCCACACCGTGTGCATACATTGTACAACAGGACACCGGGAGCTTGCTTTTCTCATGCAACCCTCCTCCTCTGCTGTCACCTTGGAGGTTGGTCTGGGCTCCACGAGTTTGCCCAGGTAAAATGAAAAATGGTTGTGTTTGATACAGGGCCTTCTAGGGTTCTACAATCCCCAAGGTGCTTTACAACACAACCAGTCATTCACCCATGCACTCACATTCACACTCTGGTGATGATTAAAATCAATTCAATTCAAGTTTATTTATATAGTCTGTGTGTGTGTGTGTGTGTGTGTGTGTGTGTGTGTGTGTGTGTGTGTGTGTGTGTGTGTGTGTGTGTGTGTGTGTGTGTGTGTGTGTGAGTCGTGGAGGATGGCTGCTTATACTGAGCCAGGATTCTCTGGAGGTTTCTTCCTGTTAAAAGGGAGTTTTCCTCTCCACTGTCGCTGCATGCTTGCTTAGTATGAGGATTGCTGACTTGATGCAATTTGCTGGGTTCCTTATATAGGAAACATTATTTCTGATTGGCTTAATGAACTGACCTGAATTGGAATGTTTATTATGTGAAGTGCCTTGAGACGACTCTTGTCGTGATTTGGCGCTATATAAATAAACTTGAATTGAATTGAACTGAATTGAATATAGCGCCAAATCACGACAAGAGTTGTCTCAAGGCACTTCACATAATGATGTTCTGCTGAGCTGTGGTGGCCTCATGGAGGGGGCCATCGGCTAGCACACTGCTGCTAACCACTTAAACATTCTCCCTCTCCTGATAATAACACTTTTCTCTCTTTGACGTTGAATGTGCTACTACTAGTTTATCCGCTTAATTATAGATCCACTAGGATAAATACAATAAAGTTTATCTCTCACCAAATAGAATATTTACTAAGAAATCACAATGTAACCATAGAAGCATTACTTTGTGTGTGTGTGTGTGTGTGTGTGTGTGTGTGTGTGTGTGTGTGTGTGTGTGTGTGTGTGTGTGTGTGTGTGTGTGTGTGTGTGTGTGTGTCTTCTCCATCCCCAGTGAGTCACGGCGGATGACTGCTTATACTGAGCCAGGATCTCAGTTTTTTCTGAACCACACTTGCTTGTGAGAATGCTACCCGCTAGCTTAGCGTTAGCAATTCGGCTTGTGAGAATGCTAACTGGTAGCTTAGCGTTAGCATTTCGGCCTGTGAGAATGCTACCTGTTAGCTTAGCATTAGCAATTCTGCTCATGAGAATGCTACCTGTTAGCTTAGCAGTAGCAATTCTGCTCGTGAGAATGCTACCTGTTAGCATAGCATTAGCAATTTGGCTCGTGAGAATGCAAACTACTAGCTTAGCCTTAGCAAGTATGTTCATACGCTTGATCCCAAACCTAGGACTGTTTCTGCCTTTTACAGTGGGGTGTGTATTTGCTCCTCTATTGTCCTCCACAGCAACTAGATTACCACAAAGTGGTAGTGTTCAGATTATGGAGTACACATTTAACGAAGGTTTGAATCAGTAAAAAATGAATCAAGCAATTAATGAATCGCACCATTTGAATCATTCAATGATTCTTTTCAGCCCTACTTACATCTATAATAACTAGCGATGTCCCGATCGTATTGAGACGATTTTTTCATATTTATCAGTAATCGGAGATCGGCAATTATAATGGATGAGTCTTTGTAGATCTCCTGAAATAGACCATGAGCCTGTTAGCATACGCTACTTCTGGGGGAACTCTCCTGCAGAGGGCTCCTTTGCTTGTGTGATAGATTCTTCCAGTTTACGGTCGGGTTTTCCATAAGAAGTCAACCAAATGGATGATGAACCAAGCAGCGATTAACATATGTCAAGCTGTCTGGGACACTTATCGAATAGCTCCGCTCTCCTGTCAGCTCATGTGAGTTTAAATCCTTCCAGGTAAACCCCAGAGTCTGCTCTGAGCTTGTTCATCCACCTCTGTATAAACATCAGGCTGTCAGTTGTCCCGCTGCAGCAGCCGGGTAAGCGCTGAAAGAAGAGCGGACATTTCCATAATCACAATGGGTAGATATGGTTTATATCTCCGTTACCTCTCCAGAGCTTCATTCTGCTGCAACTTCATTTCTTCGTAAATGTTTCCTTTTTCCTTCTTTGGAGTCCATCTTCACAGAAGCAATTCACGGCTAAGTAAAGCGACTGGAAATATAACACTCTACATCAGGTCTCAGAACAGGAAGTAGATTTGATGGGATTTACAACAACAATGGTAATGCTTATAACTGAAATGAGTCTTAGAAAGTGAACTTGAGTTATTTGCTAAAAGTATATTTCAACTTTATAAATTTCAACAGTAAAGGCCAACTATCAGATCGGGACTGGAAACTGGATCAGATCAGAAGTTAAAAGATCAGGAGCTTAAAATGCTGATCGGGACATCCCCAATAATAACCTTTCTGTCTTGTTTTCAAACAAACTCGTTAGTTTCTTTCATGAAATAACCTGAAAAATGTGAACTCACAATGAATCTTGTTGCATTTATCACACTCTCAAGCATCGAGGGTATCAGAGTACATAGGCTAATATCTATATAACTGTAATGTCTGTCCAGCTGTGTGCAGCAGGTCTGCTCCTCTTCCAGATTAATAGAAACTAGTGAAAAATAATTCTAAATCATAATCAGCCCTGACTTAAAGTTCAGTTAAATGATACTGAAACCTGCTGTTCCCCGTGCCTTAAATGACCTGCCACAGCATTCAAGTCTGGAGTACTCTTTAATAAAGGATACTTTATTGACTCACTTGGAGAAATGACTTCTGTGCATCCGACCCATCCCAGAGGAGCAGTGAGACGCCGTTAGTACGCCGCTCAGGGTTCAGTTTTCTGGAATCAAACCCCTCAGCTGTTTTTACCTTTCTGCCACTGTTAAAGAGGATTTAAACACATTTCCTGAGTGAAAGCAGGCAAAAGCATCTACTTTTATATGTTATGCCTCCTATTTTTCTGCCTTCGGAAATAAGAGTTTTGCAAGGAGGGGTGGGGTCAGCGGTGGGATGGCTGGGCTTGAAACTCGTCAAAGTGCTTGCAGTTCTAGTCATTTTTATTATAAGAGGATGTTTTCTGTCAGGACAGCTTCAGTGACGATGATGACTAGAAGGAAGGTGTAGAATGGGATTAAATGGTAGCCCTGCTCTGTGTCACCGCTAGATTCACCACCCCAACTCCTGAGCCCTGTGGAGGAGCTTCAGCATTCATGGATCAGACAGCTGCTTCCTCTACAAGCCAGTCCAACAATTATGGTGTCTACGCTTCCATGTAAGTAAAGCCTACACACACGTTCCTTCAAGTACCAACAGTACCATCACAGGAAAGATGGACAGATGTGTAGCCTTGGAAAAGTCCAACAAGGTTATTTGTTCACAGTAAAGTCAGAGGCATCGACATATACATATATGGACAATGGGTTTCCATAGGCTCCAATAATAAGTTTTTAAGCCAAAATGGGAGGTGGCCACCACCGCCATTTTGATTGTGTCACAGGTTCCGTCAAGCCCAGACAATTCCATAAAAGGGAAGAGAGGCGGAGCTGAGGGTGGGGCTGTAAGGCTGGGATCAACTGACGACACCCGGTCGAACTGAAGCTAATGTAGCTACAAGCTAACCTGAAGCTAACCCAAAGCTAATGCGGAGGTGGGAGCTAAGCTATTGGAGGTAGCAACCTAGCTACAACTGGAGTTAACTGAGCACAACACCGGACTTTCTGAGACAGAGATACCCGAGCTGACCGCTGGGGAGAACCAGGTGCAACACAGGTCTCCCGAGAGCTCCACAAGCCGGCAGCCGCGCACCAGACAGGCACCGTTGCGATCTGAGATGCGCAGAGCTACCGCTGGGGAGAACCGGGTGGAAAACATCGGTTTTCATCCGAGAGCTCCACAAGCCGACAGCCGCGCAGCAGACAAGCGCCGCGATCAGAGATGCGCCGAGCTGCAGCTGTGGGGAGGGGGACCATACCGATAGTGGGAACCCAGCTCCACCAACATGTTATATTTCAACCCATTTTCTAAAGTGCAGCATTATGTTAAATGCACTGGGTTTTACCCTATTACATTTAAATTTCATGGTTAAACAGTACATGTTAAATCTAAGCTCAGCTAGTGCAAGAGCGGCACAAGGCCGGGTTAACCATATGGGCAACTGGGCAATTGCCCAGGGCCCACGAACTCTAAAGGGCCCAGGCCCAGGGCAGCAAGGGCACGAGCAAAATACTGTATCTGTAATTTCCCGCTTTATGGGGACTAGGGTGACCATACGTCCCGTTTTCCCTGGACATGTCCACTTTTCACTCTCTGTCCGGGGCGTCCAGACTGGGGGTTCTTGTATTGATGAAAATGTCCGGCTTTTGCAGGAGCAGGGATCGAATTATGGAGGAGCTGTATATCCTACACATCCAGGGGAGCCGGAAAAAAGTTTTCTACCTATATTACATCATTCATGGACTCTTTTGAGCAGAGAGCACAGAGAGCGGCACAGCGCGTTGTTGCGCAGCGATCCAGGCAGCTGCTTCCAGCGCACGGTCCATTCTCAAAGTGGCGCAACCAAAAAACTATAATTAGCACACGATCGTTCATGTCCGCACATGTTCTCTATTTTCTGTCTTATTTGTGCCTGAAGCGCTCTGCTACTGCGGAGCCCTGTGCTGAGGTGATTTCACCTCACTGACGCAGCGTCGAAACGAGCTCTCCGCTGTGTGGTCAGGGTTGCAACACATTCCCTTTGTTCTGCTCAAAAGTAACTGATGAGGTGAAAAAGTAAGAATCCAGGCAGCAGATTTTCTGGAGAGTTTAGAGGAGATGCAGGAAGATGAGAGACAGACAGGACAGGAAAATAGTTAAATAAAAACAAGAAAACTAAGTAAAATGTAGGTAGATTTATCTCCACTACACGTTTTTACCTGTATAAAACAATAAGTTATACACATGTCATATTTATACATCTGATACAATTCAGATCACGTTCAACACTCACTCACACACCCAGGGCCGTTTCAAGACATTTTGGGGGCCAAGGCAAAATACCCCCCCCCCCCCCCCATAACTGGGCTCCCAGAAGCCTCTGTGTAACACATACCCTCTCCAGTAGTGTTAGTTATACAGTGTTTATAAAAGCCCCTCAGACATTACTGACATGTTCTAATATTATCAGATGAAAAACTAAATTATCAGACATGCCGTCTCATCTGCTGCTTTTCTAAACTTGCAAAAAGTAACAAAACCACCTGAAAGCCACTATTTGTGGATTCTCTGAAAGTTTCCATGGAGTGTGTGACAACTTATTTTATCATTGATCCTATCGTCTAATCTCACAGCTGAAACAAGCATCCTTAATAATCTGTGCACAGGAAGCTTACCGATGCTGTAGTAAAACAAAAGGTATAATAATTTATTATTATTAAAACCTTGTTGCAGCACTAAAGCAGAAAAATGAGATTTTGCATTAAATATGCTAAATATTTACATATGAATTGTTTTAGAGCCCTTTTATTGGCAGAATCTGATATTAATTTAGTTCTTACAAAAAATGGGTCCCAACGTGGTTTGTGTGGCGTTGCCATAGTGTGACGTCATAGGCACAGATCCCCTGTCCTCTTGTTTGGAAATGGAAATATGATCACCCTACATTAAACAAACTGTCCACCCGGGCTTTTGCGCTGCACAGAGACGCTTCGCTGCCTACGACTGAACGTCAGTTGAGAGTCAGTCTCATGCAGACTGACCAATGAAGAGAGGGCCTCAAGTTAAGACCCTCTCCTCATTGGTCAGTCCACACAAGGTGGGTCAAAGGTTACCCTGAGCGGGTTACGTGATGTCAGGCATTCAAGTATTGAGTATATTTACTGCATATTACAGTAAAATATTCTGTATGTGACCATATTATGGTGATCCTTGGGTCGTGATGATGGAGCCCTTGAATATTGTTGCCCAGGGTACAACAAAGTGTTAATCTGGCCCTGGAGCGGCAGTGACCTAAAATACATAAATATAATTTTACTTACCGAAAAAAATGAAGCGGAGACTCCTTGGACGCTCTATTAGTGCAATTAATGCCACAGCAAGTCATTTTGTCCAACAATTGCACAAATAATATCCAAACAGAACGCACAAACGCTACAACTACTGGTCTAAGTTGAGAGACTGAAACTGACGGAACAGTTTCCAGGCCAGACCGAGGCTCTACTGAGGCCTTTTCCCGGAGCTAGCTCTGTGGTCATGTGAGTCTGATGCTCATTAATTATACAGAGTTTTAGGCTTTTAATACACTTAAACAGAAGAGTGAGAAAAACATTCACCCCCCTCAGAGTTGTCATGAGTGTAAACTAGATCATTTAAACCAAAAACATGTTCTGGTACCAGGCTGTAAACATGTTTATTTCTGCTGTGAAATTGGTATTTTTAACATGGGAGTCAATGAGGATTTGCTCGCTTCTGACACCAGCCCCTAGTGGATGAGGGTGGAACTGCAATTTATTTCACTTCCGCATTGGCCTCACTTCCTGAACCGAATTGTGGGGGCTTGGTCAGAGGTCGACCATCAAGTGTCCAGCCGCTTCCTCTGCTAGGAATGTTGTTGTTCCCTGTACCAAAACAATTCCATGCTAACATTCTCCAGCGACACCATCTGAAAACTACGTCTAAACAACCTCTGATGTTTACAAGGAGCTGCACCTCCAAGGTCACGCAAAAGTCGAGACTCTTTTAATAAAATGATTCTTATTTTGCTTCATAAAACAATTTCCCTCAATCCACAGGTTGTTTACGATCATGTTCTGTCTTATCTACAATGAACGTTCTACCTAAAGTGATTTAATAATGAATCAACATAAATGTTTATTATTCCAGATCTTAAATAGCACAGATGTTACGTCGTTATTCTGCTTGGTTCTGTTGTTGAAACCCGTTTCTCCACCTCTCCACCACACAAGCAGAACAAACGCTTGTGCTCATTAGAAGCACGGTCCACCTTAGATCTGCTCCACCTTAGACCTGGCCCACTGTAGATCTGGTCCACCTTAGACCTGGCCCACTGTAGATCTGGTCCACCTTAGCTCTGGTCCACCATAGATCAGGTCCACCATAGATCTGGTCCATTGTAGATATGGTCCAGTTTAGATCTGGTCCACCGTAGATATGGTCCACTGTAGATCTGGTCCACCTTAGCTCTGGTCCACCATAGATCAGGTCCACCATAGATCTGGTCCATTGTAGATATGGTCCAGTTTAGATCTGGTCCACCGTAGATCTGGTCCACTGTAGATCTGGTCCACCTTAGCTCTGGTCCACCATAGATCAGGTCCACCATAGATCTGGTCCATTGTAGATATGGTCCAGCTTACATCTGGTCCACCATAGATCTAGTCCACCTTAGATCAGGTCCACCGTAGATCTGGTCCACCTTAGAAGAAGAAGAAGAAAATATCATTTCTATAGCGCCTCTCAAGATAAAAATCACGAGCCGCTTCACAAAAACAAAAAAATGTAAAAATATAAAAAAGCATTTAGAAAATGTTGTAAAATATATTTAAAATGAGCAAAAATAGACAATTGTGATTAAAAAAATGTTAAGAAAGAGAGAGAGTCAATAGGAAAGAGGGAAACCAGTGGATCCTGAGGAAGGTGGAATAGGTGGGGAGAGCAGAATAAAGAGAGAGAGGTGAAGAAGGTCATACAAAAGCCAGCTTGAACAAGTGAGTCTTCAGCTGCTTTTTAAAGGAGACCACTGAGTCCACTGATCTCAGGCTCAGGGGGAGAGAGGTCCAGAGTCTGGGGGCCACAGCAGCAGATGATCTGTCACCTTTGACCTTTAGCCTGGTGCTGCACAACCAGTAGGCTTTGATCACTGGACCTCAGGGACCTGCTGGGGGTGTAGGGACTAAGAAGATCACCAATGTAAGATGGTGCTTGTCCATGTAAGGCCCTATAGACCAGAACCAGGATCTTGAAATGAACCCTGGAGTTGACTGGCAGCCAGTGAAGCTGGAGGAGAAGCGGGGTGATGTGGGTGTGTTTGGAGGACTTGGTCAGAAGCCAAGCACAGGCGTTCTGAACCACCTGTAGACGGTTCAGGGAGGTTCTGCTCAGACACGTGAAAAGAGAGTTACAGTAGTCTAAGCGTGAGGAGATGAAGGTGTGGAGAACTGTCTCAAGTTCAGAGCGGGACAGAATGGGACTCAGCTTAGCAATGTTCCTGAGATGGAAGAAGGAAGAGCCAACAAGAGAACTGACATGAGAATCCAGGGTGAGAGCTGGGTCAAAGGTCACGCCAAGATTCCTGACAGAAGGTTTGGTGTGGGAAGCAAGCTGACCAAGAGAGTCTCTGACTTTGGGAACCAGCTTGTCTGGGTCACAGATGAGGATCTCAGTCTGATCTTCATTCAGCTGAAGAAAGCTCCCACCATCCAGGCTTTGATAGAGTCTAAGCAGGTGTGGAACAGCCAAAACAAAGCGGAGACTCACCTCTTACATCAGGAAGAATCCATGTGTTTCGAGCGTTATCCGTTCTTTCATGATCCGTTGTTGAATTGTGATCGGCAGAAGCTTTTCTGGTTCGCTCCTCGCATTTTTTTTACAGTAGCGGGCCAAAACGATCCCCTAACACATGGATGTTCTGCTTCCTGATCAAGTGACATGTGACATATATGGATGAAGATCAGCTTTAGAGCCAAGATGTTCTCACGGTGCGGGAGCTCGTTCCAACGCCCACACCGTAAAAAAATGCAAATAACGACTTTAGTCGTCAATGGCGTTGGAATGAGTTTATATTAAAATACATGAAACTTTGGACTCTTCAAGAAGATGTTTCCAGCCAGAGAATGGGAACATTACAGCGTTGAAAGCTACGGAGTTGCATGTCTGCCAAAAAAATACCGCACATGTAGTACTCAAAACATTTTGACAGGGTTGGCAGGTCTGATTTTGGTGGTACAGTTGTAGTCTGAGGAATAATCACGGTTTCACCATCACCACGATTATTTTACAAGAATTGATTTCATATTGAGTGTGAAGCAGCTGGGATGAGAATCAGCTCAGGTCTTGAGTCGGAAAAGGGTAGAATACCTTCTCCAGGTCAGGGATGAGGTCCTGCCCCAAGTGGAGGAGATTAAGTATCTCGGGGTCTTGTTCACAAGTGAGGGAAAGGTAGAGCTCGAGATCGATAGGCAGATTGGTGCTGCATCTGCAGTGATGCGGGCGTTGTACCGGTCTGTCGTGGTGAAGAGAGAGCTGAGTCAGAAGGTGAAGCTCTCGATTTACCGGTGGATCTACGTTCCTACCCTCACCTCTGGTCATGAGCTTTGGGTAGTGACCGAAAGAACGAGATCGCGGATACAAGCAGCTGAAATGAGCTTTCTCCACAGAGTGTCTGGGTTCTCCCTTAGAGATAGGATGAGAAGCTTGGTCTTCCGGGAGGGGCTCGGAGTAGACCCGCTGCTCCTCCACATTGAGAGGAGCCAGTTGAGGTGGCTTGGGCATCTGGTCAGGATGTCTCCTGGACGCCTCCCTGGTGAGGTTTTCTGGGTACGTCCAACCGGGAGGAGACCCAAGGGAATACCCAGGACACGCTGGGGAGACTACGTCTCTCACGTGGCCAGGGAACACCTTGGTATTCCCCAGGAGTAGCTGGCCCAAGTAGCTGGGAAGATGTCACCAACTGAGTCAATACCTTCTGCCCCTGTTGTTAACTTCCTGTTTTCTGTTTGTCTTATCAGCACTGAGAACATGCTGGATCCAGAAGGGGACTTTGACCTGGATGACACCATGGATGTGGCCCGTCATGTGGAAGAGTTGCTTCGCAGGCCCATGGAGGCCCACGCTCAGTGGAGCAGCCAGCAGTCATGAACTGCAACGTCTTTAGGCTTTTATTTTATTCTAACCTCTTTTTAACTCATTTTTTCTCTCTGCTTTTTTATTAAAAAACTAAAAAACTTAATATAAAATAAGCTTAGTTACTCTGGCAGATCCACATAACAGCTATTTTCTAGATTCTGCTGAACATAGGAAGGTAAAAGCTCTGTCATCTGCAGCTGTTGACATGGTGGGATGACTTTAAAGACCAAGTTCATGGAAGTATCTTTCATAAGACACACAGTGGCGGCAACTCAGTGTGTCTTACGAATGTGTCGTAGCGGCATGGCAATGCGAGAATATTTCGCCTTTCATGTCAGCGGAGCTTTTCCCCCACAGAGGTGGACTCACACGTTCTTCATTTATAGTAGCGACCACTGCAGATGCAAATGGACCTGGTCTTTAATACCCCCTCAAGCTCACTAGTTCCTCAGGGCTGCTGTCTAGAGCTATTATGTTTGGGTTTTCTTTTGTTTTTCTTTTACAAAAAGTAATTTTACAGCGTAAACTTTACACAACGTTCACATGTGCCTGATGAGCTTTTGAAATGCAGAGACCATTCACATGGGAAAAGCAAACTTCTGTATGAATGACTTTCAATTATTTTGTTTTGTAATAATGAGAATGTGTCAATATTTTTGTTGAAAGAAGATAAAATGGAATGGGAATAAAATGGAAACCTAAAAGGATTCAGTCACATTTGCTGTTCTAAACACAAGCAGAACCATCAGACCTCCTTTCATTCCCCTGAATCAGATCCACATGTTGATGTTTAAGAGTAAATCGCCCTCCTGCCCACATTTCATGTTTGAATAATGCACCACAAGCATCGCCTGGCGGGCTGAGAGGGCAGAGCGACCTGTCGCTCAGAGATTCACAAGCCGGAGGACGCATACAGTGGGGCAAAAAAGTATTTAGTCAGCCACCGATTGTGCAAGTTCTCCCACTTAAAATGATGACAGAGGTCAGTAATTTACATCATAGGTACACTTCAACTGTGAGAGACAGAATGTGAAAAAAAATCCATGAATTCACATGGCAGGATTTTTAAAGAATTTATTTGTAAATCAGGGTGGAAAATAAGTATTTGGTCAATAACAAAAATTCAACTCAATACTTTGTAACATAACCTTTGTTGGCAATAACAGAGGTCAAACGATTACTATAGGTCTTTACCAGGTTTGCACACACAGTAGCTGGTATTTTGGCCCATTCCTCCATGCAGATCTTCTCGAGAGCAGTGATGTTTTGGGGCTGTCGCCGAGCAACACAGGCTTTCAACTCCCTCCACAGATTTTCTATGGGGTTGAGGTCTGGAGACTGGCTAGGCCACTCCAGGACTTTCAAATGCTTCTTACGGAGTCACTCCTTTGTTGCCCGGGCGGTGTGTTTGGGATCATTGTCGTGTTGGAAGACCCAGCCACGTTTCATCTTCAAAGCTCTCACTGATGGAAGGAGGTTTTGGCTCAGAATCTCACGATACATGGCCCCATTCATTCTGTCCTTAACACGGATCAGTCGTCCTGTCCCCTTAGCAGAAAAACAGCCCCAAAGCATGATGTTCCCACCCCCATGCTTTACAGTAGGTATGGTGTTCTTGGGATGCAACTCAGTATTCTTCTTCCTCCAAACACGACGAGTTGAGTTTATACCAAAAAGTTCTACTTTGGTTTCATCTGACCACATGACATTCTCCCAGTCCTCTGCTGTATCATCCATGTGCTCTCTGGCAAACTTCAGACGGGCCTGGACATGCACTGGCTTCAGCAGCGGAACACGTCTGGCACTGCAGGATTTGATTCCCTGCCGTTGTAGTGTGTTACTGATGGTGACCTTTGTTACTGTGGTCCCAGCTCTCTGCAGGTCATTCACCAGGTCCCCTCGTGTGGTTCTGGGATTCTTGCTCACCGTTCTCATGATCATTTTGACCCCACGGGATGAGATCTTGCGTGGAGCCCCAGATCGAGGAGATTATCAGTGGTCTTGTATGTCTTCCATTTTCTGATAATTGCTCCCACAGTTGATTTTTTCACACCAAGCTGCTTGCCTATTGTAGATTCACTCTTCCCAGTCTGGTGCAGGTCTACAATTCTTTTCCTGGTGTCCTTCCAAAGCTCTTTGGTCTTGGCCATAGTGGAGTTTGGAGTCTGACTGTTTGAGGCTGTGGACAGGTGTCTTTTATACAGATAATGAGTTCAAACAGGTGCCATTAATACAGGTAACGAGTGGAGGACAGAAAAGCTTCTTAAAGAAGACGTTACAGGTCTGTGACAGTCAGAGATTTTCCTTGTTTTAAGTGACCAAATACTTATTTTCCACCCTGATTTACAAATAAATTCTTTAAAAATCCTGCCATGTGAATTCATGGATTTTTTTTTCACATTCTGTCTCTCACAGTTGAAGTGCACCTATGATGTAAATTACTGACCTCTGTCATCATTTTAAGTGGGAGAACTTGCACAATCGGCTGACTAAATACTTTTTTGCCCCACTGTATATATTTATTTTTAACTGGGAAATGTGAAAATTGTGACTTCAAAGTGTGAGGAAAGGGCAAAATAGAGTCGATAAGAAAAAGGTCATCAGTGGATCCGGGAAAGGCTGAATGAGGAGAAAGAGCAGCACAAGGAGAAGGAGGCGATGGAGGTCACATCAAAACCTGAACAGGTGAATTTAAAGGAGACCGCTGTCTACTGATCACAGGCTCATGGGGAGAGAGGTCCAGAGTCTGGGGGCCACAGCAGCAAATGATCTGTCACCTTTGACCTTTAGTCTGGTGCTGCACAACCAGTAGACTTTGGTCTCTGGACCTCAGGGGCCTGCTGGAGGTGTAGGGACTGAGAAGATCAACAATGTGTGCTTGTCCATGTACGGCTCTAAAGACCAGTACCAGGATCTTGAAATGAACCCTGAAGTTGACTGGCAGCCAGTGAAGCTGGAGGAGAGGCGGGGTGATGTGGGTGTGTTTGGAGGACTTGGTCAGAAGCCGAGCACAGGCGTTCTGAACCACCTGTAGACGGTTCAGGGAGGTTCTGCTCAGACACGTGAAAAGAGAGTTACAGTAGTCTAAGCGTGAGGAGATGAAGGTGTAGAGAATGTCACGCCCTGTCCTGTCTCCCCATTTGGTTCAGCCATGTGTCTCTGTTAATTGCTCCCACCTGCCTCTCGTTTCCAATCACCCAAGCTCCCAGCCCTCTTGTATTTTAACCCCTCCAGTTCTGTGTCTCGTGTTGGATCATTGTTTCTATGTTAGTGTGTTCTCCATTAGAACCTTTAATCGTTCATGTCTGATTGCCTACCTTCTTCACCCGCGTGTGGATCCTCACCTCCGCTTCACACTCCAGCACGCCTGACAGAAAGATCCAACCCACTAAAGGATCCTGCGGGGAGATTCTCCCCTGGGAGTGCCTGCTCCAATTCCTCTCCTCGGACCACCGGCCGGCTTCTCCTCCGGCGTCGCCTCGCCGCGGTCACCGAACTTCAGCCTCAGCGATCCTCTCCACCCTCCCGGAGCCAGATGAGAGGTTGGACTGGGAGACGCTGCCAGACCGCTCCTGCTACGTGGGCACCAGACTGGCTGTGTGCTCCCCCGGAGTTGGCCCACGATGTGGGGAAGGATGCCGGGCTCCACCACAACCCTGTGTCCCAGGACGGAGCTGCCAGCTCGCCACTGCCCCGGCTTGGTGCACCAGCTTGGACCCGCCCCCAGTCAGACCAGCAGTCCCGCCTCTGGTCCAATCAGCGCCTCCGTCATCTGCAGGCGGAGGAACCATGCCTACAGCCCAGCTGACGGAGCTCGCCGGTCTCCAGGCGGAGCTTGGCTGGATCCGTCAGCTTGTCAGCCTCCAGGAGTTCCAGCTGGACACCCTATCCTCCCCGCATCACCAGGAGAAGGTGTCGGTCCAGTCAGCAGCTCCCTCGTCATAGGACCAAAGGATCGAGCCTGCAGTCCACCCAGCAGAGCTCGCCGGTCTTCGAGCTGAGCTGGCCCAACTCCATCAGAGCCTCAGTCTCGAAGAGCTCCAGCTGGACACACTATCCTCCCTGCTCTCCCAGTTTCCGGCACCACCAGTTCAGTCAGCTCCTGTCCCAGCGTTGGTCCCGGAGGTCGCACCGCATCCAGTTCCAGCTGTGGTCCCGGAGGTCGCACCGCATCCTGTTCCAGCGGTGGTCCCGGAGGTCGCACCGCATCCGTTCCAGTCTGTCCAAGCGGTCCCATCTGCAGCAACTCCTCCACTCCAGAAGCCGACGGTCCAGAAGCCGACGGACCAGAAGTCGATGCCCCCGGACCAGAGGTCGACGCCCCCGGACCAGAAGCCAACGGTCCAGCAGCCGACGGTCCAGAGGTCGACGGTCCAGAAGCCGATGGTCCAGAAGTCGACGGTCCAGAAGCCGACGCTCCCGGACCAGAAGCTGACGCTCCCGGACCAGAAGTCGACGCCCCCAGACCAGAAGTCAATGCCCCTGGACCAGAAGTCGACGTCGACTGTCCAGAAGCCGACGCTCCCAGACAAGAAGCCGATGCTCCCGGACCAGAAGTCAACGCCCCCGGACCAGAAGTTGACGCCCCCGGACCAGAAGTCGAAGTCGATGGTCCAGAAGTTGACGCCTCCGGACCAGAAATCGACTCCCCTGGACCAGAAGTCGATGGAGGTCGATGCCCCCAGTCCTGAAGTCGATGTCCCTTCCAGTCCTGTGGTCGACGCCTCGTCCAGTCCCGTGGTCGACGCCTCGTCCAGTCTTGTGGTCGACGCCTCTTCCAGCCCTGTTGTTGACGCCTCCTCATGTTCCGAAGTCGACACCTCCTCGTGTTCTGAAGTCGACGCCTCCTAGTGTTCTGAAGTCGACGCCTCCTAGTGTTCTGAAGTCGACACCTCCTCGTGTTCTGAAGTTGACGCCTCCTCATGTTCTGAAGTCGACGCCTCCTCGTGTCCTGAAGTTGACGCCTCCTCGTGTCCTGAAGTCGACGCCTCCTCATGTTCTGAAGTTGACGCCTCCTCATGTTCTGAAGTCGACGCCTCCTCGTGTCCTGAAGTTGACACCTCCTCGTGTTCTGAAGTCGACGCCTCCTAGTGTTCTGAAGTCGACACCTCCTCGTGTTCTGAAGTTGACGCCTCCTCATGTTCTGAAGTCGACGCCTCCTCGTGTCCTGAAGTTGACGCCTCCTCGTGTCCTGAAGTCGACGCCTCATCCACTCCAGAGGTCGACCCCTCATCCACTCCAGAGGTCGACGCCTCAAAGACTCCAGAGGTCGATGCCTCATCCACTCCACCGGTCAACGCTCCCTCGTGTCCAGAGGTCGACGCTCCCTCCAGTCCAGAGGTCGACGCTCCCTCCAGTCCAGAGGTTGACTCCGTCTCCAGTCCAATAACCCCATTTCCAGTCCAGTGGTCGACGCCGTTTCCAGTCCCGTGGTCGACGCCGTCTCCAGTCCAGTGGTCGACGCCGTCTCCAGTCCCGTGGTCCACGCCGTCTCCAGTCCAGTGGTCGACGCCGTCTCCAGTCCAGTGGTCCACGCCGTCTCCAGTCCAGTGGTCCACGCCGTCTCCAGTCCCGGGGTCGACGCCATCTCCAGTCCCGCAGTCGACGCCGTCTCCAGTCCCGCGGTCGACGCCGTCTCCAGTCCCGCGGTCGGCGCCGTCTCCAGTCCAGTGGTCGGTGCCGTCTCCAGTCCAGCGGTCGACGCCGT